TTAATGCTGCGTTTTCCTTTTGCATGTGTTTTTTGGTTTATGCAGCGTTTTCCTTTAGCATGTGTTTTCCGGTTAATGCTGGGTTTTCCTTTTGCATGTGTTTTGTTTAATGCCGCGTTTCTGTCTTGCATGTGTTTTTTTGTTTAATGCAGCATTTTCCGTTTGCATGTGTTTTGTTCAATACCGCGTTTGTGTCTTGCATGTGTTGTGTCTTTTGCATGTGTTGTGACCGTGTCGGCCACTGTATTCATCCCTGTCCACACCTTGGAGACGCGCTGTATGACGTGCTTATTGCTTCTTTAAATTAGTTAAATTAAGTTTGCAAAAACCCTCTTGCTTCTCCTTTTAAACCTGTTTCTGTCTCTCACTCTTCAGCATCATTAGCACCTACCAACACCTGAGATGTCCCAGATTTGTACTGTGTATTTTGTGTGGACTTGTTTTGTTTGTGGAACTATGATTAGATGCTGGAAGAGAACGCTCGGGTGGCACTGATGATTGGAGAATCCCTACGAGACCAGACTGTACAGATGGGACTGTATGAGATGGAGAACCTCTTAAACAGGTGTGTTTATGCAGATTTTGCTGTATAGATCTGTCCCCTGTTTTATTCCCAGCTGCTTTGGGCAATATGCCAGTCTTTATTTCCAGGTTTCGGGAAGCTCTAGTGGAATTTGGGAAAGAGCATCGCAGGGAACCAAGCAACAACCAGAACAAGTTCCATCTCCACTATCTGCTGGCTTCCATCAGCAACTGCATCATCCTCAAGTAAGAGTATTGTTCAAATACTTCTAAAGCAACACCACACATTCGACTTTATCCTGGGTTAACATTATATGAGCCAGCATCACAAGCTTCCTGGTAAAGTTGGCTGTGACTTCTCCAGGCTTCACTGACCACACACCCCATATGTACTGTCTGGTAAACGGTGCTGGGGAGACTCCGACTAACCTGCTCTTTCCTTCTACTCAAAGCAGAGAGACAAATATAAAGTTCTTGGTCCCGTGACAAGGTCATCATCTAGTTCACTTGTTCACTATTCACCCAAGGTAGTGCTGTTTATGTCATGTTCCGCCCATCATGAAAGGGAAAAAAGTAACCCAGAAACAAAGTTAATTAGAATATAAATCTCTCTCTGCAGATTAATAGAAAATATAGTGTCTTCTGGTGTACAATGCAGGAAGTCTACAGAAAACCTGCAGCAGCAGCAGTCATGCTGGTCGGCGGGCCAGCTCTCTCGGACTCCTCCCAACCCCCTGGCAGCTTTGGACCGGGCGGTGAGACGGGCTTGTCACCTGGTGATGGATCAGTTCCTCTTGGACCTTCAGCCTTTCCTCCCAGGCCTGCTGACCCGACCCTGGCTGGTCCAGGGACACCCCACACCCAAACTCTGCAATGTCCTGGAGCACCACCTGGAGCTGTACGGCCGTGTTCGGCCCCCCTGTCGTCAGGTCACAGCTTTGTTCTGTTTCCAGCCCCAGTCTCTGGTTTGTAGTGTAGTGATGTTCGTTTGGGGTAGCGCTGTTCTGAAGGCTAGCTGATAAAAACCAGTGAGTTAAATCATTTTGGAACTCAAAATAGACTGAAGTTCAGTTAAACGTCATTAAGCAAGAGAGGAGGAGCCTGTAGATCCCTTCACCGATCCTCAGCTGGGTTAGTTTGGGTATCAGTGTAATAATAATTCATGTATTTTGGATTCTATCACAGTGTTTCAGTGAAATGGGCTCAAGGTTGATGGCTTAGTGCAGATCAACAGATTTACAGTGCATATATCAGAGGATGATGGTACTGATTTACCAGGTTTATGCGCAGTATATTTTATTATAGAGATCTTTGTGTGGTGCATGCTTCATAGCAATATATTTGGCTTACTCAGCATCAAAATGACCCATATTAACAAAACCTTACTCATGTGTCTTACTGACTGACAGCTCCCAGAAGTGAGGCCGCCACAGGTCAGCCGCCTTCCGGTGGCTGGTTCAAGTCGTAAATCCTGCCTCCTTGTCACTACTGCACAGAATCTGGCTGCAAAATGCCAAGATTGCAGCCACTGCATTCATGATATTTGACTTCACTTTTGCAGAGGTGGAAAGTAACTAAGTACACTTACTCAAGTACTGTATTTAAGTACAATTGTGAGGTATCTGTACTTGACTATTTTCCTTTTCTGTACTTTATACTTACTATATTTATTTGATAACTTTAGTTACTAGTTAATAAAACATAATACAGTATAATCAAAAGATTTATTGATCCTTAAAATTCTACAAGCTACCAAGTAGTAATTCAAAATATATGTATGTAACATAGTTCAAATTAGCTCCACTTTAACACCTGCAATACTAAACGTGATGTACACAATAACACGTCGGTAATTCAAACTAATAATATGATGTACATCAATGTTGTAAATGGTGACATTTTGCATAAGGATTAGTTTTACTTTTGGTACTTTAAGTGTATTTTCTGCTAATACGTTTGTGATTTTACGTAAGTAACATTTTGAATGCAGACTTTTACTTGAAACATAGTGGTTTTGCAAATTTTATTTAACAATCTGAGTACAGAAGCGGTGCCGTGTGGTCTATGGCCTATCCTCAGTTAGTCAGGACTCGGCATGAGATGACCTTCACATTACTGACCAGTGCAGTATAATGTGTTCTACTATCTGGATTGACTCTTGCAGGGTGCATGTAACTCTTATTTTGGTGTCTACAGCGTCTGCAGGAGGAGGCCCAGTGGCTGCTGGTGGTGGAGTATGTCAGGGCTCTTATGCAGAAGAGGCTGGTGTGCCGCAGCACCGAGGAGAGGAGGCAGCTGGCTCAGCAGATGGTTCAGGACGACCAGCTGTTCAGAGAAGTCTTCCCTAGTCTGGTGAGCACCTTACATCTATCTACTCGAGCTGTTGTGAATGTTGGACTCAGTCAGTCCTGCGTATTCTTTTATGAAGAATGTTCTAAGTCAAATCAGTTTTTAAGATATTTATTACAATATTCAAGAAAAGCAATACAGAGCTCTGGGTTCCGTCTCTATCTGAGGCCCTGATCCCAAACAGCAAAACCGTTCAACTTGCCTTCAGGACAAAGAGGAACGCCTATTCTCCTGGACCCAGTGAATTTATCCAGTTTTTTGAATGTGCAAAATGTAGGTAGATCTGACGTCATCCGTGTTGTCCTTCATCCTCATTCCTTGGTTGGTTTGTTGACCTCGTTCTGACCCCTCATTGGTGTTCTTGTTGTCAGGCAGATTGGATCTGTGAAATTCTAAGAACAACATCCTGACCTTCTGAACCAGACATTGCACACCTACATACGTCTTACAAACACTTGGTCATTGTCTGCAGTTTTAGGGACAGCACCTCTGTCTCATGTCTCTTCTACCCTTGTGATAGGCAGCGTTGCTATGGAACCTGGCCTTGTTCCTGTTTGTGGTTTCCTGTCTGATTCTTACAGCCTACACATGTTCTGTTATTATCAGCCATAGGTCTCCTGTATTCTTAAAGACAAGTGAAATGGTTCAATGAAAAGGAAATTATAAAGCATATGATACTGAAATAAACATGTAGGTATATTTGCTAATGCAGATTATAATGTTGATTATAGAAGGCTCTAAGCATTTCCTATAATGTTGATAAACATAGAAGAACTTATACCACTCACAACTCTCTTGCAGACAGTTTAGTCATCTCATAGTCTACTCCTGCGCTTGCTTCCTGTTTCTTGTTTCCTGTTGATCTGAGTCTCTGCACTTAGACACATACTCACACACAGCATTTCAAGTGCACAGGTCAAGCCATTACAAAGGTCGAGCAGATTAAACAATCTTTAAAGCAGTTTTGCAAATACATAACATAGCACTATATTATTTTGTCAATAATTTCTTTCTACATGAATCAGAAACATTCATCAATAAAAGTGTTTCCCCAGTAATTGTACAGGCATGAGGGGCTGCCATGCCTACATACCAGGCCAATAACGGTTTGTTTTTTTGTTAAGCAGTAACTATGAAAATAGTTTGTTTCAAGTTGCTGAGCAGTTCAAACTGCAGTTTGCACCAACTTGAGAGTTTATTATAGTTTTTTTTTTTTATATAAAGTATTTCATTATTTGGATTTTCTTTATTTTTCTTAAAGATGGTTTGTTCTAACTTCGTTGAGTGTGAAGTAACTGGGAGCTTTGGCAGTTATTTGAGTGAATAAATTCATCTTTGTCATACTCTCCTTGTTTTATATGACCTTTTACATAGAAATTACCAACTAAAAGTCTGGTGCAAGAAATAAATAACCAAACATTTTAGCACGTGTGTCCAAAACCTCTATCATCCTCTTACCACCGTGGCTGGAACATTTTCTAGGGGAAACACTGATTAATACATCTGAACCCTTTTCACTGTCATGGTGTTTGTGTCTGATGGTATCAATGTCAGATCAGTCAAGGGTCAACTGCCTTATTGATGGCTAAAATAGCTATGAGGTACCTGACGAATCTGATAAATCAAAATGTTAAGTATTTCCGTTTAAACTGTAGTGATGTCGAAGTATGAACTAGCAGGAAATCACTATCACCACCAGAAAAACAAAAAGTATGCTAGTTTTATTACCATTATAGGCCTTCAGATTACAGCTTTGGGCTAAAACCTTTGAGATAACCCACCAGAAAAAGGAAAGGCAACTGTTACCCCTCTATGAGTAGGTATTACACCCTTACTGTTAAGAACTAGACAGTATCGAGGGGAAAGTCTCCAATTGTTAAACATTCTCCTGTAAAACATACAAAGTAATGAATGAACAAAAACATCTTTTTAAAACACACGAAGTCATGTTCTTTTTACAAAATAAAACACTGATTAAAAGAGTAGCTGATCTAGTTTTGATGAACTGTAGCGTCGTATATTGTAACTTAGTGTTGAATAGGGCGGTGGTGCCGACACCTCTGGGTTAACCTAACACCATGACAGAGCTGTCATTTCTCCTTGAGCTGTCTGCGTTGTGACCTTTGGTTAACCATAGTTGGAAGAGGGGAGCCGAAGGCTTCCGTTGCCTCAGGTGTGTTCCTGCATGATGGTCCACTGATTCACCATGTGGTCAAATGGGTTTAAACCCCATGTGGAAAGACCAGTAAGGAGGACCTGGTACTGCTACTTGCCAGGCTGCTGCCTTATCACACAGCCATCACCAAAGTCCAGTTTGGAAGGGTGTGAGCAAGCCTCTTGTAACTGGCTCCTGTCTGGGAAGAGATGACCCCTGGAGGATTTACCGCTCTTACGCCACCTAGTGGAATTACTTTCACTATTTATTAATGTTTTGTGTCTGCACGCTGCCTGCGAGATGTGAGGGAAGCTGGGGAGAGACGATGGTGATCACCACTGTTTTGTTGGACCAACTCTATATAGTGGATTTAGTGATCATGTTTTCAGTACACAAGGGAATGTAACGGTAAGTGTTCTATTAAAGTTAAACTGTTTATGCCTGTTAAAATGTTTCTGAAGAGAAAGGTACAGAAAAGTTTTAAAGTATGTCTGTGTGTTTCCATTTAGACTTTACATTTGTCTTATTCCAGTTAATTCAGTTTTAATTCTTACCCTTATCAAAATTTACAGTTACATCTGGGGTGGAAACAGGTTTCTTCTCAGCTTAAATCAAAAGAATCATCTGATTTATCAGGCTAATATGTATTTTTATTCTCAATTTTATTTAGTTTTAAGCCTTACATCTAAACTATTAGGCTGAGCTTTAAAATTAAATAATTATTGCAGTTTTACTTTGTTTCAAACTTTGTATTTAACTAAACTAAACCTTAACTAAGGGGCTGAAACATTCCTAATCTTATCTATGGGGTGAAACACCTGCTTTTTCTAAGCCTAATTATTTCATTTAGAGAGAAACATTAATCCTTGCATCTATAAAATATTTAGAGAGCAACCCACTAAAGTTGTTTTCAGATAGGACGCAGTATGCACTGCGCTCACTGTGGACGTTGGGCACGGCACAGGGGAGGAGGGCAAACACGCACATCGTGCACATCCTAGCAACTGGCACCCAAAAACCTGTCCAGGAGGAGGTTGGCAGATATCTAGTTTTTCAAGCAGTGGACTTGGATGCATGATGTATCTCTCTACATGTCGGCAAAAAGCTCTGGCTTTAGTTATATTAATGAGGAGGAGGAGATGAGCTGCAGCATAGAAGAAGAGGGTGTGGGTCTGCCAAAATCAGCTTTTCTTCAGGTTCTCTGCAATTGGATGCGTCGAGGTGTCGTCCCTGCACACTGCGCCCAAGTTAAACTTTTTTTTTTAACTGCAGCGTCACACACAGGAAAGGCATGTGCGACCGTGTGTTGTGCTCAGTTCGCCACAGCGCAGATATGCAGATACTCACAGAAATGAATGGGTTTGATAGCGGAGCGCCACCATGTCCTGTCTGAAAATGGCTTAAGTCTGTGTGCTGCTGCTCTGCCCTTTTGTTAGGAAATACCCAAATAAAATCTCTACAATATAATAACCCTAGTCTAGGGGATGTTACTCAGCTCTACAGGAAACCTGATTAAAATCCTTCAGTGTTGTGCTAAACCCATAAATTATGATCAAAACATTCTGTCAGTCCTATTAAACAGTGATTTAAAGGTGAAAAGTAACAAAAATCCTTTGAAATCTGTAATTGCCTGTAATAAAAGTCAACAGCCTGTGATCAAGATGGACATGAAGTGCAAAAATGTGAGCAGGGCTTGGGGTGTCATAAATCAATCATTTCACACCTCAGGTTGACAGGAAGTGTATTCTTCTTCTTCCTGATGAGCAGTCAAACACAGGTGTGTAATTGTGTGTCTTTGTAGGATAGTGAAGGGTCAGTACCTGAGGTGAACCCTTTAGCCCTGCTACCCATCCTAGCTGACTTCATCCGACTCAAAGACCCTGGCATGCTCACTCTGGAAGTGTCAGGACTCGCAGCCAAATACCCTGACATCAGGTAATCTTCCCTTACCATCACATGCTTTTAAAAAGTGATATGTGTAAACCTTTTATAGATTTGAGGGATTACACCTACATGTGATTCTGTTCCCTCAGTGAAGAGCACGTGTCTGTACTTTTGGACATCCGTGGTGATGTCTCCAGAGACATCAGGGGGGCTGTGCTGGACTTGCTGGAGCAGAGCGCCCCCCCTCTGCCAATAGGATATCGACCCATCTTCACTGATATCCTGGTGCCTCCCTCCACCATGGCCTTCTGTCTGCCCACTGCTAAGTGCGCATGACCGCAAGAACTCAAACTTTATTCTGTGCTCATATTTTCACATTAAAATCAGGTTGGGTCTGGTTCTCGGTTGGATTGTCCAGGTCCCCTTAGCTTGTTATACTAGAATATTAGGACCGAGCAGAAACCTGTTTAGTTTCGAGGTATGCTGTTGGATGGCTACCCTGTTGTGTTTGTTCCTCAGTGGCATCCGGCTCCACACTTACATCGTTACACCCATCATTCATAGTGGGAGCTGTTCAGTGCCACCTTCACTCTTCTTTTGTCACCCACTGAAGCAGGTGGGGGGTTCAGGGCCTTGCTCAAGGACTCCTTAACAATGGGAGAGTGAGATATATTCATTTCCTTCACCAGAGATTTGAGCTGGTCCTTGCTGGTCTAATTAAAACTCCTTTGTCTTGTAAAATCCTGAATCTATTAGCCACTGTGGCTGATGAGGCAAAAAGTGCTGCTTTAATGCCTTAAAAATATTAACATGCTATCATGTTCAGCAATTTGTGCTACTGATTTAAAGTTGCAGTAAGCAACCTTTTAAACAGCTGTTTTAAAACTGTTTCATCTTCTCATTCAGTAACCATGTAACATATTAGTGAACTGCACATTTATGCTTGCCAAAATTTCAGAGGTTGCGATGCCATCAAATTTAAGGTGCAGCTTTAGTGATCCTACGTTACTTTTGCTGGTCAACTGCAATTATAACCACAAAAAGAATTCTGTGATAAGAATGAAATGTCATTGTTTTCTGAGGACATACTATATATACGGTTGTGTGGGGTTACAACAAATTGTTGTAGATTATCATCATTGTCAGATACACAGATATGTAAATGTCAAAATGTTATTTAAAGAGTCCATAACTGCTCATTTAGCTTGTTTTCAGCCATTTAATGTTTAACCTTGGGTACCTCTAGATTAGTTCAGCACCCCTCATAACCCCCAATAGTTTGTAATTGTTTCAGAATCAGAGAGCCAGATAGCCTCTTTCTTAAAACAAGAGGATAGTTCGTGAACCCGCACAACTCCTTTTGCCAGTTTTGTCACAAGTGGACAGCACAATGAACTGACAGAATTAATGTGAATGTCTCCTCCATAGATAGGTAAAAAATGGTATATGTACCGATGAAAACAGATGTATAACACTCTAAACAAAGCAGGTAATTGAGAAACCCCATATTTTAACAAGCATAATGCAGACATAGTAACTTCTCCAGCCTTACAATTCTCTCTAACATTACAGAAACAACACATTAACAGACGCGCAACGTCTTTTTTTTTTTTTTACATCATTAAGTCCCACTGAATAGTGGAAACATCGCTCCCTTTCAAGTAGCTCCATGGTTGGTAAATCCAACCAGTCCCACACGACCACATACAGTCCCCAAAGTAGTGAAATTAATTCCAACAGGTAGCGTAGCGTCGACAATAACATCATGGGTCATTAATACGCTTGTTAACCATCAACATATCACATGTCGCAGACACACTTGACCTCAAGCAGTCAAAACAAACAGATACTGTGCTCCAGGAGAATCCAGCGTTGATGAGCTGATCATTCACCGCCGTCGGGGCTTCACAGGCTGGCTGCTTGTAGGTTAGACCCTGTCAGGTAAAACAGTGAGTCCCTGTTCCCGGACATGCAGTAACCTCAGGAGCAGGAGGGAAAATATATCCACAAAACCAGGCGCAGTCGAAAAATTCTACTTTTAAAATGGCATTGGTGGAGGTCAGGCAAGTTCACTTGAACGTGCAACTGCCTGGAGATTATTCAAGGAAATCCTTAAACTATCATGTAATACCTTATTTTGGTAGAAAAAAAAGTCTTGCAAGCTAGAGTTTGCAGGACATGTATAAACCCTGAGTTGCTTCTGCAGTACTAGAACATATGTACACCTCAATTTTGAGCTTTAGGTCACATCTAAGATGATAATTCACCATTGTAACATTGTAGATGAGTCAGAAAACAAGGGAAAGCGCTGTGGGCTCTTTCAAAGCAGTGCAGGTAGATTCAAATTCAGAGCAATGTGTTCATTTTTTTATTTTGTGTGTTTATTTTTTTGAACACACCCCTTTCAACTAATTGCCCAATTGCACAGCCTTAAGAGCGTGCATATCATGAATGCTGGGTCTTGTTTGCTTTCTGAGAATCTACTGCACCTACTGGTAACTTGTTTGCCATGTAGCAATAAAAAATATACTAAGAACCTTGATTATTCTGGTTAGTCACATTGTACTGCTATTATTTTGAACAATACTGTAACACAACAGAGAGATCTTTAATTATGTGTGACACAAGTCCTAATCAGCAGTAGATAAACATTTCACTCTACATTCATAGAAGCATTTCGTCCTGTGGGCTCTGAAATCTTCAGTTTATAAATATAAGCCGATTCGGAGTTTCTAATACTGTATCTTCCTACTGAGGAAACGCAAAACTTAGATTCTGAACTGGCTCATCAGTTTATGTATCAAATCAAATTTAATTTGTTTAGCGCCAAATCACAACAAAAGTCACATCACTTGACAGAGTAAGGTCTAGACCTTACTGTTATCATTATTGTTACAGAGGGAAAACCCAACAAATCCCCCTTGATCAGGCACTTGGCGACAGTGGGGGGGGGAACTCCCGAAACCTCCGACAGACCCTGGCTCTTGGTGGGCGGCCTTCTGCCTCGACCAGTTGGGGTGAGTGGATAGAGGAGAGAAAAGAAGAAAATCAACAGGACACAACAAACAAACACCGGTCCAGTTGATGTGGCCGGTGACTGCTCATCAGAAACGTAGAGCTCCAGGGCCAGGGCAACCTGCAGAAAGGTACAGGGAGAGAGAGAGGACACACTACGGGAGAGAGGAGACACAAAGTTAGTCATGTGTAATGGTGGCATATAGAAGCATAGGGAGAGAGGGAGGGGAGGAGAGAAACTCAGAGCGTCATGGGGTCCCCCAGCAGCCTAGGCCTGATAGTCTGGACTGGTATCAAAATAAAATCCTGAGCCTGAGACAAGACTATGTAAAAATGGGGGTGATTCTAAGATGAGACCAAGACCTTCCGAAAGTGTTCTCGAAACTGTACTTGAGGCCAAGACCGATCTTGAGTACTTCAACGCTAACTTCATATATACTTTTTACATTCCAGCGAGCTCGTGACGTCATTGTTAAAGATGGCCACCAGCGGCGGGACCACGGTGGTTCTGGATGTTAATCCGATCTACTTCTAGACTTGCACGGGATAATCTACGGCGTTTCGGAGATGAAGACCTTCTGTGGAAGAGCCAACCCAACCACGGGAGCTTTAGACTGGGTGGAGGAGAGCGAAGAGTACGACTACCACCAGGAGATAGCCAGGTAGCTGTTAGCACCGAGCTAGCATCACGTGGAGACGCCGTAACGTGCGGTGGTCTGGGAAATTCACTGTCACTGCAGCGCATCACCCGAGAACACAACATGTGCTCAGTACGTGGCTATATCGAGAAAGGCTTCGCGTTGTAACCAGACAGGCGGGTGTCACATTAGATCCTAGCCTCCACACAGCGACCAGCTCATGTCCCACGACCCCCTGCGCGTGTCGCGGTCACGGTAGAGCATCATGCCGAGATACTGGCTGCCCTACACCATGACTTCTATAGCTGCTTATGTTGGACAGCTGTGACATGGAGTTCGCTTTGCTACCTCGGGATGTGTTAGGGATGAGGGTTCATGCACCTTCCTGTTGCTGTGTTCTCTGTCACCACATTCCCACTGAATGAAATCTGTGTACCACCATATATAACTAAACCGGTGTTGTTTACCTTCCACGCATGGATCAAAACTTGGTTGTCCAGTTTAAATATGGACATTTACACCACAATCTACTGGGGGCAACAGTCCACCTCGAAGACCACAAGGATGTATTTTAGTATGACTTTAAACTGTCACAGAGGCCAACACTGTCTTAACCTATTTATCATATTTATCTTTCAGGTCCTGCTATGCAGATATGCTGCATGATCGTGACAGGGTGAGTGCTGGAGAACAGGACTAACGGACTAACAGCAGTATTTATCTTATAGCAAAATTAAGGTTGGGACAGTGCGTCCTAACAGCTGTATGAAGCCTCAGATACTCTTCTGTGTGATATTGTCAGAATATTTGCTTCTAATTTTCCTGTGGCATCAACAAATACATTTCAGCTGTAGACAAAACGACACAGCCCCAACTTGTATTTATTAAATATGAATCGTAGT